CTGAAGTCTAAAATCACGAATGAGAAACACACACAAGCACACATGGATTGTTATTTCTGGTATTCACACACACACACAAACAGACACACACACACACAAACAGGCACACACACACAGAGAAACAGACACTTACACATAGAAATACCCGTACACACACGGACGGAATGTTATTTTTAGTATTTACATACACACATAAAACACACACACACACACACACATACACAAGACACACACACACACACACAAAACACAGACGGAATGTTATTTTTATATTTTCGCGCTCACACGCACATAAACGCACACACACAGACGAAGACACACACAAACGCACGCACAAACGCAAGCACACACACGAAATGTTATTTTTGTTATTTGCACACTCAAAAAAAAAATAAACGTACACATAAACGCACACATACTCAAACGAACACACCTGCACACATACACACGGAATGTTACTTTAGGTATTTACACACACATACACACAAACGCACACAGAGAGAGAGAGAGAGAGAGAGAGAGAGACGTCGCGTTTATATAATCGTTTACGTCTGCTTTCTCTAAAAGAGAAGAATCAATTTGCCTCCGGTAAATTCATTGAAGAATCTTCGCCCGTGATTTTCTCCAAAAATGAGAAATTGTTCCTCGCTATAAGAACGGTGGACACACTGAGTGGAAGATGCTGAGAAATGTTGAAAATTGGTCCGAGGAAGGAGTTTCCTTCTTTCAAAAGTTAGCGAATTAGAAAAGTGAAAGAGTTGCTCGACGATGGCAACGGTTAGAAGGGAAGAGAAGAAAGAAAAGAAAGGCAAGGAGAAGAAAAAGAGAGTCAGAGTTTAAGAGAGAGAGCAAAAGGGCGAAAGAAAAAGAAAAGGGGAACAGAGAATCCAGAAAGAAAGAAATGGATAAAAATAAAAAAAAGAAAGAAAATAAAATATTAAGAAAGAAAGAAAAATATAGAAAGAAAGAAGGAAAAGAAAGAAAAATATAGAAAGAAAGAAAGAAGAAAGTAAAAACAGCGAAAGAAAGAAGGAAATGAAAAGATAGAAAAAAGCAGAAAAATAAAAAAGTAAGAAAAAATGAAAGAAAAAAGAAAGTAAAATCAGTAAGAAAGAAAGAAAGAAAGATAGAAAAATATAGAAAGAAAGAAAAATATAGAAAGAAAGAAAGCAGAAAAAGAAAGATAGAAAGAAACAAAGAAAGAAAAGAGAGGGTAAAAATGAAAGAGAGAAGGATGGATAAAGTAAAAACAGAAAGAAGGGAAACGAAGAAAGAAAGAAAGAAAGAAAGAATGTGAAATTAGAAAGAAAGAAGAAAAGAAAAATATAGAAAGAAAGAAATAAAAAAGAAAGATAGATAGAAAGAAAATAAAAAATAGAGAAAGAAAGAAGAAAAAAAATAAAAACATAGAAAGAAAGAAGCAAAGAAAAAGATAGAAAGAAAGAAAGCAGAGAAATAAAGATAGAAAGAAAGGAAAAACAAAAAAGAAAAAAGGAAAAAGAAAGAAAGAAAGAAAGAAAGAAGAAAATAAATAAATAAAGAAAGAAAGAAAGAAAGAAAGGAAGAAAGAAAGAAAGAAAAGAACAGAAAGAAAGAATGATAATAGTATTTTAAGAGGAACGGAAGCAAATTTAGTCATATGTGTCGTAAGATAAGAAAGGAGTAGGAGAAAATTTGAAAGAAGAAAAAGAAAAGAAAATGAAGAAAAAGAAGAGAAGAAAATGAAGAGAAAAATCCTAGGAAAAGAAAAATGGCGAAAAAGGAGAAAAAAATAAATTACAGGGGATAAGTGAAAAAAATTATAAGAAAAAAAGAAAATTATACTGTAGAATAAAAAAGAAGTGGAAGAAGAAAAAAGGGAAAATGACAATAACGAAGATGAGGATATTAGTCCGAATGCAAATAACGTAAGTAATGATAACTCCTCATCCTAGAAATTCAGGAAAAAAAAATACAGAAAAAGAGAAAAAACATTATAAAAGAAGAAATGCTGGCACTGGTGCTGATGGCAAAGAAGTAAAAGAAAGAATAAAAATGATAACAGGACGTGAAATATTGAAGAAAGCAAACTCCATATGAGAGAGTGGGAGGAATTATTTGAGGTAGGGGGTTCTGTTCCCTTCATCCCGTTGGATCTATAATCAGATTTTGCCTGCATGTGATTCCAGTAAAGTCGTCTCAGCCTCTCGGCTGCTGGCCTTCCATTGTCCCTCCCAATGCCTCTTCTACATTTACGACTCTCCTCCTCTTTTCGATATCCATTTTACTCTCCCACCGACCCGCAACTTTGTCTCTCCACTCTACTCCACTCCCCCCTCCCCTCCCCCCACTCCTCTCCACTCCACTCCACTCCACTCCCCGCCGGATACAGATGTTATTACGGAGATGCAAAACTGCATTAAGTTGCCAACAAGACGAGAGACTTGATAGACGTTGGAGGGCTGCCAATAATGCGTTATATATTGAAGTGGCCAAGACAGGGACATCATCACTGGCCTAC